TAGGCAGAGCTACAGGGCTTCTTGGTCTTAGAGCTGAGATTAAACTCCAACTCTTCGGGCTTCCCTGGTGGTGCAGTGGTTGAGAGCCTGCCTGCCGATGCAGGGGACATGGGTTCGTGCCCCGGTCCGGGAAGATCCCACATGGCGCGGAGCGGATGGGCCCGTGAGCCATGGCCGCTGAGCCTGAGCGTCCGGAGCCTGTGCTCCGCAAAACTCCAACTCTTCTGAGTTCTAAGCTCGTGGTGACTTCTCCAGACCATTGTACCCTCAGCCTGCAGCAGAAGCCTCTAGCAGGCCCCGCCCAGCCCTCAGAGAGCAAGCACCAGGCTGCCTGTCCTCCAGGAGGCCCTGGGCACTTGTCATTTTGCCGATGGAGGGAGCAGCCTCTTCACAAAGTGGTGGCTCTTAGAGGATGGTTCTCGACTGTGTACTGAGTCCCCTGGGGACCTTGTCATGATGCAGATTCTGAGTCAGAAGGTCTGGGCTGGGCCCTGAGACTCTGCATTTCCTCCCAAGAGGTTCTGCCACAGCTTTTAGTCCATGAACCACACTTTGATTAGCAGACCCTTTGTGTAGGAGAAACTGCTCCCTAAGTTCTACCTTTTCCCGCTGCTCTAAAGACATGATGAGAAGGAAAATCAGCAAACGTTTACGGAACATCTACTATGTACTAGGCACTGCTGGTGAACAGGTGAGGAAACAGCTCCACCCAGCATGACTTAATGAACACATCAGGTCCACCTACTGCAAATAAAAATTAGCAACAAGTCAAGAAAAGTGAGATGGATTAAATCCACTGTCTATGAAATGCTGTGGTAAAGGGAAATCGGGGGCCGTGAGAGCTCAGTGGTGACGGATGGGCTTCCTGAGGAAGCAGTTCAGTAATGATGAAAATGATAGCAACGAGAAGTATAGTTACTATTTATTGAGGAGCCAAGTGTCAGGCACTGTGCAGCCCAGTTTATGTACTTATTTAATTTTCACATGAATCGCGTGATATATTAACTCATCGCCATTTCACAAACTGGAAAACTGAGCGTCAAATAGATTAAGCAATTTGCTGACGCTCACAGAGCTAAATGAATGTGATTTTCTAGTTTATCTTCTGTTTCTAGTAGCACAAATTTTGGTAATGATGTCGTGCTTCTCCATCCTATAACTTGTGGCACTTTCTTCAAGTGTGGCGTCCACCTAGGTCAGAGTGATCTGGAGGCTTAATTACAAAGCAGATTCCTGGGCCTCATTGTAAACCTACTGAACCCGAATCTTTGAAAGTGAGGCCCAGGAATTTGCCTCTCCTGCTGAAGTTGATGGGGCATGTGGTCTTCAGTTTTGCTTTGAAGGGTGAGTGCAATTTTGATCATCAGGGAGTAGCAGATAAGTCCGGGAAGAGGGATGAGCATGGTTATTGGGAAACCCTGTGTGGAAACTGGCCTAACAGGACGGACCGGAGTGAGAGACACCTGGTGGAGTGGGACAGGGACGGCCCGGAGTGTTGCCCTTGGACTTGCAGTGTTTTCTGGAGCCGTTGGGAGACTTCAACCATGACCTGTGTTGTAGGGAGACGTTTGGTACAGCATGGGGATGGATTAAAGGGCTGGGACCCAGTTGTCAACACAGTCAAAGGAGCTGAGGTCCCAGGCCGGTGTAGTGGTCAGAGGGGCAGAGAGCACAGAAGTTTGAGAGGGTTAGACAAAGAGCCAGAAACGCAGGGTAGCAGATCACATGCGGCTGGCTCTGAATCCTGCTTCCAGATCTGTTATGAGGAACGACTTGGTATTAAGATGTCATAAGGGGCTTCCCTGGTGGCGCAGTGCTTGAGAGTCCACCAGGGGACGCAGGTTCGTGCCCCGGTCCGGGAAGATCCCACATGCTGCGGAGCGGCTGGGCCCGTGAGCCATGGCCGCTGAGCCTGCGGGTCCGGAGCCTGTGCTCCGCCACGGGAGAGGCCACAACAGTGAGAGGCCCGTGTACCGCAAAAAAAAAAAAAAAAGAAAACAAAAAGTCATAAGAATATAAAAACCGGTCTTGCCAAGGTACTGCCAATCTGAGCTGCTCAGGCTCTCCTCATTTATCCACATATTATAGAAAGATGGGGGCTGCAGAGCTAATTCACTGAAAGTAGACAGTTTCACTTGACTTTAACCTTTTTCTTCATTTCCTCTGTTTGTACCACATCCACTGAGCCAAAAATTATTTGACATGATTCACTTTCCTTCTCTCCCCTTATTTAATTGGTGACCATGTGCAGTGAAACAACCGGAAGAGAGATGCAGGTAGGAAAGGAGAAAAAGGGGTTCTCCATGGGCCCTGGCATGTGTTTCTTAGAACAATGAAAGGAACCACCTCCACTAAATTGATCCTGTTGGTCATGTCTTCCTTGCCCGTTTTGTTAGAATTCCTGGCATCCACTTGGTCCATTTTTCTGGTGATGAAGCCAAGCAAGCTTTGCTGTGGAAGTAGTGGCAAGAAATACTGTGTGTGCAGAAAGTTGTAGCTTAGCAAGATGGGTGGAATCCATCAGTGTATCACTGACCCTTCTTAGGCAGACAATTCCATGCTGCCCTCCTGGCTCTGCTTTCTTCTGCCCACGCAAATGAGTCCCTACTGCCTTAGCCAGCCAGACCCACAAATGAAGGAGTCGTGGGTTAAGGGTCCCTGGATGAAAACCCTAACACTTCAGGACACATTGTACTTGCTGGGTCTGCGCTGTGGCTTCCAAGAGCCACAGGAGCGCACCCTTCAGTAACAGGACCCAGACAGGGGTGCCGAGTTTCTGCATCTCAGCCACTTTGGAATTAGCACTGCCTGCTTTGGTCCTGAACATGGTGACCTTGTGTCCTGTGCTTGGAGGCTCATAGGAGCAGGATGAGCTCTCCAAGTTTCTATTTCTGAACAACATGTAAATTTATCCCATAGCAGAGCATCACAGCTTCGGCTCGTTCTGTAAACGTGTTGAGCCTCTTGCTAGGTGAGCTGGGCACTGTACAAGATGCTGAGGCGATAATGACAAATTATTCACGGTCCTTGCTCTGTGTGGGAGGAGATAGCTGCGTAAACAGGAAGAACGGTACAGTGTCTTCAGAGTCCAGGGCTATCATCTGTAAAACGTGAGACGATCATAGTGTGTACGTCACTGGCTTGTTGAGGGGATTAAGCTGGTGAGATAAGAGAAGCACTTAGAACACTGTCTGGCTCATGGTGGGAGGGTTGGCAGTATCTGTCACTGTCGTCATCGTCACCATGGTTGTTGGCACTGACCTACCACCTGCCCACGGTGGGTCCAATGGCTGCAGAATAGGGGGAGTGATGTAACCCATCAGGAAGGTTCTCAGTGGAGGTAACGTTTGAGCTGAATCTTGAAGGGAGAGTAGGGATTGACCCAGAAGACAAACCAGAGAACTGAGGGCAGGTAACCAAGGCTCTGGGGTTTGAAACATCAGGTGGTTTGGGGAACCCAGCAGTTCAGGAGTGAGGGTGGTTACCTGGGGTGATGGGGAGAAAAGAAGGCCGATACAAAGAGAAGGAGGGGGCCTGGAGCGCCCTCCTTGGGCTTCTCTGTGAAACAGGAGAGGAAGTCTGTGGAGGTGAAGAGCCTCGAGGCCACCAGTGGAGACACAGCAGCCCTTCTGAGCATGTGAGGGACAAAGGCCAGCCAGGGACTTAGCTGAGGAGGGAGACTGAGCGTGGGTCAGCAAGGAAGTCACACCCACAGGAGGAAAGCAGGCCGTGTCCCAGGAGAAAAGGAGCTTTTCAGGTGCAACAGGCAAGGTTATTTCTAGCCGGGGGAACCAGCACAGACTCTATAGAGATAAAGTGGGGACACAAAGAGGCCTTGATGATGTGTCGGGAAGCTGGGCTTTATTTCCGGGCCATTGGTACGTTTCAAACTGGAGGGCAACAGGATCAGATTTGTGCCAAAAGAATGTCATTCTGGCAGGACTGAGGCTGTCAAACTGGAGAAGGCCACACTCAGGCAGATAGCTGGAAAAACATCGAAGGCCTCAGAGACCAAGAGGCAGGAGCCTGCAGTGCTCCCGGCATGGGCAGCGGGTGTGAGGTCACATACCCGCCCCGCCTGCCACTGCCCTCTGGCCCGGCTTCTCCCAGGTGGCCTACAGCCCACAGGACTCAGCCATGGATCCGCCGTCCCGAGGGCTAGGTGATTTTTAGGAATATGAAGTCCAGACAGGGGACTACAAGGTCAGCCCAAAGACACCCTGAGGGCTGGTCTGTCTGACCTGGAGCCCCCCTTAGTTTGGAGCATCTCTGGGAAGTTTCAGTGCCAACGTCACGGAACCAAGGGGTGGGGTGGGTGCAGGTACCATAAGGGCCCCAGAGTGCGTGTCGGGGCCTCCCTACAGTGGGAAGAACCCACCGTGGATGCCACGTGAGTGGTCAGCCCAGCCACCGTGCTCACGCCGAGGCCCGGCACAGGGCATCTGAGCCCTCTCCGTGACCACGAATCCTAGAAAGCCCCCTCTCCGGTGGGACGAGCATCCCCACATGAGGGAATTAAGGTTGGTGGCATTAAAGTCACCTCTGGAGGAAGACACTCTTAGTGGACTTGAACCCAGGGCTGGCTTCTAATCCCGTGCCTGTTAGAAAGCACCAGCCGAGAGGGTATTTCCACGTTACAGTGGCGCAGTTGTCGGCGTCGCGCATGTCCTAGCAAAGGTCTCTTTGAAGGTGCTTGGGTTTCCATGAGCAGAAGAGCGCATTCCCCCTTTCTGCTGGTGAGCTTCAGCCTGGCAGCTGTGTGACACACGCCACCGGCACCTGGGTCCCTGAGGGCCTTGGGGGGCAGCGTGCTTCGAGCAGGAAGTGAGAGCTGGTGGGTGCTTGTTGAGTCGCGCTCACCTGCCGGTTCTTTGGTTGAAGCATTTCATCTCGGGGGCCCGCCTCCAGGACCACGGTCCCCGGGTGGGCGCCTGTGGTGTGCTACGTTTTTTCTGACGCCCCCAGACTCACATCTGCCTCTCGCCCTCCTTCTGCCGCAGATCCTGGCGCCCCTGTGAAATTGCCTTGTCTGCCGGTGAAGCTGTCGCCTCCGCTACCTCCAAAGAAAGTCATGATCTGTATGCCCATGGGGGGGCCAGACCTCTCCCTGGCATCCTACGCGGCCCAGAAGAGCGGCCAGCAGGGCGGGGCCCAGCACCACCACACCGTCCTGCCCTCCCAGATCCAGCACCAGCTGCAGTACGGCAGCCTCAGCCAGCACCTCCCCGCCACCACCGGCTCCCTCCCCATGCACCCCTCGGGCTGCAGGATGATAGATGAGCTGAACAAAACGCTGGCCATGACCATGCAGAGGCTGGAAAGGTAATGGAGGGGGAAGGGGTGAGGGCAGGAAAGGAGGGCTTGGCGATTCGACCATGACCAAGGAGTGAGAAGACCAGCGCAAGCAAGGGCTCACACCCACTTGGAGGGGTGGGGTTCGGGAGGGGGGGGGGTGAAGGTAAAATCAGACCAGAATCTGAATGTCAAGGAGAGTATGGAAGAAAAAACTGTTGCCAGTTGCCAAACTATAGAACAGTCACACGTTTATCGAAAAGAAAAAGTAGTGCCTATGTATACATATGAGTATGCGTGAGTGGGTGGGTGGATAGATAGATCGTACATATCGTGCTTCTGTAGACCTTAATGTGTTTTGGAAGCAGGTGCACATCATCATTAATGTAACCCCTAGGGCAGGGAGATGGGGAGAAAATCTTTTATTTTTAGATTTTGTATCTTTCTGTACTGCTTAATTTTTTACTTTGTGTATATTACTTTTATGATGTAAAAAACAAGGTGAATGTAGACTAAGAAGAGATGAGAGCTGGCAGGGCGGTGGAGGAATGACAGAGGGAAAGGTGGAGAGGTACGCCCTCGTTCTTGCCGATGGAGGAAGCAGCAGACATAGTCTGATTATACGAGTTTGAGCCTCAGATATTTACCAACAACTGGTGAAGTCCCCTCTTTGATCAGAATCTCCCTCCAGTAGCACTGCAGGGAGAGCTGCCAAGGGTGTTCCAAGGGCAGGCCTGCAGCGGAGACCTTGACTCCCCACCACCCAGGGAGATCTCTTGTGCTGGTTCTGGATCGCTTGCGTGTGTGTGTGTGTGTGTGTGTGCACGCACGCGCGCACGCACGCGTTCAGATACCACCTCGCTTGTGCCCAAGAGGTGGCTGAGATTTCCCAATGTGATTCCAACCCAGTGTAGTTAACTGGGTCCTGCAGACCAGATAGGAAAACTGCAGCCTGGAAAGCACGCAGCCGGTCACCGGGCAGAGAGCCAGGGGCGAGATGGACACAGCCGAGAGCTTTCTGTTGTAGTTTCCTGACTCTCAGTGGCTTTTCCCTCCCTCTGTGTCAGCCAAGTATTCTATGTTTGGAAAATTAATGACTCCAAGAGAAGTTATCACTAAGAATTCTGACTTGATAGGTTCACGTTAGTATCTCCCTTCACTGAAAAAAAAAATGTATTTGGCCATTGCCATCATTTTCAACTACTGTTATTGTTAATGAGGACAGTCATAATTGAAAATTTGGATGGCGCTTTTTAGTCTATTATTAATACATACCTTTATTATTATCTTAATCCTCACACCACCTAGGGAGACTTGAGTCAGCCAAGAAACTAAGGAAGGCTGAGTTCCCCAATGCCAGCTACTCAAACTTGGTGCCCATCTGCAGAAATTGTACAGAAATTGAGAACAAGCTTTTAGATACCTTCATAGCAATTTGACAGGATAATTTTTTGTCTTACGATAAAAAGGGGTTTTATTTGTTGTGCATTTTTATTATATTTTTGAAAGCATCAGTTTGTGATGGATTAAAAATTGAAGTAAGTCAACCAACCGACCAACAAAACTGGTCCCTCCCCATAGACATTTTTTTTTAACATCTTTATTGGAGTAGAATTGCTTTACAATGGTGTGTTAGTTTCTGCTTTATAACAAAGTGAATCAGTTATACATATACATATGTTCCCATATCTCCTCCCTCTTGCATCCCCCCCCCCCCCCCCCTCCCCATCCCACCCCTCTAGGTGGTCACAAAGCACCGAGCTGATCTCCCTGTGCTACGCGGCTGCTTCCCACTAGCTATCTATTTTACGTTTGGTAGTATATACATGTCCATGCCACTCTCTTTGTCACAGCTTACCCTTCCCCCTCCCCATATCCTCAAGTCCATTTTCTAGTAGGTCTGTGTCTATTCCCATCTTACCCCTAGGTTCTTCATGACCTCTTTTTTTTTTCCTTAGATTCCATATATATGTGTTAGCATACGGTATTTGTTTTTCTCTTTCTGACTTACTTCACTCTGTATGACAGACTCTAGGTCTATCCACCTCACTACAAATAACTCAATTTCATTCCTTTTTATGGCTGAGCAATATTCCATTGTGTATATGTGCCACATCTTCTTTATCCATTCATCCGGTGATGGACATTTAGGTTGCTTCCATGTCCTGGCTATTGTAAATAGAGCTGCAGTGAACATTTTGGTACATGACTCTTTTTGAATTATGGTTTTCTCAGGGTATATGCCCAGTAGTGGGATTGCTGGGTCGTATGGTAGTTCTATTTGTAGTTTTTTAAGGAACCTCCATACTATTCTCCATAGTGGCTGTATCAATTTACATTCCCACCAACGGTGCAAGAGGGTTCCCTTTTCTCCACACCCTCTCCAGCATTTATTGTTTCTAGATTTTTTGATGATGGCCATTCTGACCTGTGTGAGATGATATCTCATTGTAGTTTTGATTTGCATTTCTCTAATGATTAATGATGTTGAGCATCCTTTCATGTGTGTGTTGGCCATCTGTATATCTTCTTTGGAGAAATGTCGATTTAGGTCTTCTGCCCATTTTTGGATTGGGTTGTTTTTTGGTTATTGAGCTGCATGAGCTGCTTGTAAATCTTGGAGATTAATCCTTTGTCAGTTGCTTCATTTGCAAATATTTTCTCCCAATCTGAGGGTTGTCTTTTGGTCTTGTTTATGGTTTCCTTTGCTGTGCAAAAGCTGTTAAGTTTCATTAGGTCCCATTTGTTTCTTTTTGGTTTTATTTCCATTTCTCTAGGAGGCGGGTCAGAAAGGATCTCGCTGTGACGTATGTCATAGAGTGTCTGCCTGTGCTTTCCTCTGAGAGTTTGATAGTGTCTGGCCTTACCCCCATAGACATTTTGACAAGCACTGTCCTAGGTAGTAAGTCGAGCGGCCGAGCCTTCAAGCCTGGATCGTCCTCCTGCAAATCCAGAACTCCTTTGACTATAGCACAACCGCTTTCCTAAAGACAGCTAGCAGTGAATGTAATTTACTGCCCTCACGTCTCCTGTGACCCCCAGTATACTTTTGTATCTCTTCCGGAGTTAATAAGCATCTGAAAAAGATACTCACGAGAGCATACTAGTAGCATATTGCTAAATACATTTGCACCTAAAACATGCCATTTAAAGTACTAACCAATGAGTTATGTGATATTCCTCAGTTCAGTAATTTCCATGTGTGTTTATAGAATATTTCAGTCGAGTGTAAACCAATGAATAGGTCTGTTGGACCTACACTGGGTCAGGTTCTTTATTGAAATGAATCAAAGACAGCAAATGGGGAAGGAAAGGAGATACTGGGATATTGCAGGTGGAGGAGATTGGAAGAAGGGCAGCCTGGTCTTGGCAGCTGAGCCAAGGCAATCTCCTGTGCTTTGTGTCACCCCCGGACCCTCCTTACCTCCTGTCTCCCTCCCCACCAACCATAGGCCAAGGTATAGTGTTGTTCTGGTGGACCAGCCCGGACACAGGGAATTAATGCCTACATCATCAGGATAGCCCTACAGAGGGCTTCCCTGGTGGCGCAGTGGTTGAGAGTCCGCCTGCCGATGCAGGGGACACGGGTTCGTGCCCCGGTCCGGGAGGATCCCACATGTCGCGGAGCGGCTGGGCCCGTGAGCCATGGCCGCTGAGCCTGCGCGTCCGGAGCCTGTGCTCCGTAACGGGAGAGGCCCGTATACCGAAAAAAAAAAAAAAAAAAGAGAGCCCTACAGAGAAAGCGAGGTCTTCTTGCCAAACAAAGACTGAGAATGTTTCTGAGGATCCACGTCGTCTTCCAGGAGTCCTGGAAGGATCTGGGAGCAGAACAGGTCATGGGCCACCTTTCAGTTTAGTGCAGGAACTGCCGCTGTCTCCAGTGATGTCACCTTTCTTTTTACGATCTGGAAATTCTCCCTCCTACCTGTCAACATGATTTCACTCTTGTTCTGGCCAAGTTTCATCCAGAAAGGATGATTTCTTTTTTCTCCTGACAATTTCCAGTGACCCCAAAAAGCACTGCAAGAAAGAAGGAACATTACTGAATGCATAGGCATTCTGCCCACAGAGAACCTGAGATCTCATAGAACGTTCATGCCCTACAGGGTGTTAGTCCAGACCCATGGTCTGATCCTGGTGAAACATTGTAGGTAATGCAGAAATCGAATGATGAATTTAACAGCATGAATGCCTGACTTTGGACTATAAATTTGAATAAATAGTCATCTTGTAATTGAAAGGGACCTTTAAGACCAAGGCAGCCAGCCTGCTGCCTGTTGCAGCCTTTCTGACGATTTGTCCTCTGGTCTCTGTGGGAATGGGACCCTCCCTAGGTACCAAGATAGCCTGCCCCACTGTCCAGAAGGTCTGATTACTACGAAGTTCTTTCTTATGCTAAGTGAAAAGTGTTACTTACTATAATCCCTTGTCCCAGTCTTATTTCTAATCTTCCTTTCCTGTGAGAGGCTTTCAAATCTTTAAAAATAATTACTGTTCCCTTTATCTAGTGGCTTCTCTCTTTCAGGCTGATAATCCCAAATTCATGGAATCGTCTGTTGAGACGGTTTCTAGATCCTTTACCATCTTGTTCCTGCTCTCCCAAGATTGCTCTAAATCTGTTTTGACTTGTATGAAGACGTTCTTAACTGTTAACCTAACCTGACCCTACTTAATGACATTGAAAGATCACATTAGTTAGTTACAGCGCTGGCCCGCCAGATTTGGGGGGAAGGAGGGAACTAGAGACCAGCTTCCGTGTTTATCAAAGTCACGAGGCAGCATGGCCAATCTGGAGGCAGCCCCTGCATCATGGCTGAGTACATGGGCTCCAGAATCTAATTGCCAGGGTTTCAGTCTCAGAGATACCGCTTCTTTTTTGCCTTGGATTCCTCATCTTTAAAACAGGATAGTAATAACACCACCAACCTCGTCAGGGTTGTTTGTGAGGAACAAGTGACAGTCTACATCAGTCGTCTTATTACATGGCATATAGTAAGTGTCCAGTAAGTGATAGTGAATGTGAAGCAGAA